TGCTCTGGGGAAATACGGGCCCGACTTCCGAGTCCCTAGACCTCGTCTGCTCTGCCATGGGAGCGGCAGGCCGCCTGCTTTCGCTGCTGCGTCCGTAAGTGGCTGACACGGGAAGGCCAAGCTGCCCCAAGGAACAGCACTGCGCAGAGTCGTGGGGCCGGCAGCTTCGAGCAGCGCTGCTCCATGAGCCACCGCAGGTCTCCTGGGAGCACGGCTGCAGGCTCAGGGGCAGCTCGGGGAGAGAAGCCAGTTCAACCAGGGTCTGATTCATTCCTCTTTGGCTCAAGTCTATGCACCGCCACCGCTGGGAATTGAACAGAGGTGGGGAAGGATCCGTGCAGGGCCCCAGCCTGCAGAGGGCACCTGGGCACAATCGGTGCGCCAGAGTGAAGTGAGCACTTGGGCCTCACACAGTACAGGACTTTGCCCCGTAGTCTGACAGCCCCCGGCTGGGCGAACGTGGGCAGCTCTCACAAGGGGGCTCGCAGGAAAGGCTGACATGGGACGGGGGGCTGCAGTGTCACAGAGCTGGGCCTCAGCCAAGCCCCGGTCCTTTCTGCTGGCTAGATGCCCTGTGAAGGGGAGGCGGGAGGGGCCAGGCTAGTGAGAGCGGGCAGTGCCATGGGGGTGGGTGTAAGATGGGGCTCGTAATCAGGGACCTTGGCTGCAAAGACCCACATTCCACCAGTCTTTCTTCTTGTGTCCTTAGCAAGACACACAAGGCTGGATTCCACTGGGGCAAGGCTCAGCTCAGCCCTTTGTTGAGGGAAGCAGCTTCTAAGAAATCCCCTTAGCTGCAGACAGCTCAGCTGTGCCCTTCATTCTGGTGACCCTCAGTGCCCTGCCCGCCCCTGGCAATGGAAGAGGGCAAGGAGCCTGGATGTCTGATAGAGAGAGAGGCCTTGTGCTTTACAGCAAGGGGACAGGTTCAGATCTGTCACACCGAGGTACGTCCCCTGGGCCCCATTCCCCATGTGTCAGCACTTACACTAGCGCAGGGGAGTATAACACACCCACAGTGGGAGCATTTCACACACCCCAGGCACCCCTGGAAACGTCGGCACAAAAGTGACGGAGATTTGAGCAGCGCTGCGTGGGGATGGGGTTTGTCATTTCACAGGACAAGTCAGGATTTCGACCTTTTTTTGTCCCCGTCGGAAATGGAACGAAGCCAGAACGTTTCGCTGTGACTTGAAATTCCCCGCAATGTTCATCCTGGGGCCCATTGAAACGTTTCATTTTGCTAAAATCAAAACATTTCCTTCCGATTTTGACTTGGCGTTTCTGTTCTGAAGCGGCTTTGCATGGCCATTTCTGAAACACTGAAAATGATACAAACAGTTCCATTCCAAAAAGGGGCAAAAGACTTTTTAAAAACATCTTCTTGCTAAACAAACCTTGCCTCGAAATGGGCCGGTCGCCATGAAACGTTTCACTTGCAATAAATCGGTATTTTCCAGCGGAAAAACATCTTGTCAGAGTGTCTGTAAGAACTACTCTAGATTTACTGTAACTGAGGTCAAAGTCTAGCCCAGATCGTTAATAATCCGGCAGCCCCACCCTGTGCATGGTTTCAGTGCTATAAATCGGAGGCTGCATACCAACGCCCACAAACCAGGTAAAAATCGAGTCCCGCCCGCCCCACTGAAAGGGGAGCTGTGCCAAGACCCTGGGGGGAGCCCGGAGCGTTGTGAAGTGATATTCATCAGCATTGCTCAGGCTTTTCCTTTATGTCACTGGGGGCAACCACACTTTGCTTAGCCCGGTACCTTGTTTTCCTTTCTCTGCCTCACCAGCCAAAACGCAGCCTTGTTGCCCCCAGAAGCAGCACGTGCCTGTGGTCTGTCCTTCTGAGAGCCATGGGACCGTGTGGAGAGGCATTAGCCTTGCTGCTGCCAATGCTAGTCCAGTTCCAGCTGGTGCAACTGGCCCCTCAAGGTCAGGGGCACAAAACCCACCCACTAATCTAAAGGGATAGCATTGGTTAAACAAAGCCTCCCTTGTCCCCTGAGGGATTAACAATACACTGGTCATCTTCTTCCTATGGCTGATGAACGCAACAACTAGCGTTTTACACTCAGAGGATTAAGCCAGATAATTGTGTCAGGAGTAGCGGAGTGTATCACCCTGATGCCTCCTTCATATGCGTGAATCGGGCACTGAGTCGTTATATGTTCCAGGGTCTCTTCTGGGTGACACACGCAGTCACACGCTGGAGAGTTTTGAATTTTCCCTTTGTGCAGCAAGTAGCCATGTAGCCGCCTACTGTTCAGCATTGTCCATAGCAGGCAGTGGTTTGAGACAAGGGACGACCCTTGCAAGCTTCAGCATCCGGCCTTTAAGCCAGACCCTGTCGTAGGCCAATGACAGGTCTACAAAGGCTGTACCGTTCTTAGTTTTCTTCTGGAATTTGGCCTTGATGTGCATTCCAAGGGCCAAAACTTGGGCGCAGCAACTGCGTTTAGGCCACAATCCCTCTTGTTCTTCGGGGGTCACTGACTCGACGAGAGGACTGATTCTCTGGAGGATGATACGTTCCAGGAGTTTGTAGGTCATGCACAGGAGTGATATCGGCCTATAGCTTCCCGGGTCGTCGGTTGGCTTGCCCGGCTTGAGTATGGCCATTACTATCACCTCCCGCCAGGCTTTTGGGATGCATCCAGATTTCACGGTTTTAGTGTCATTTCGCCAGCCACTGGAGTCCCTTAGGGCCTAGTTGATGAAGGAATTCGAGTGGGATACCATCTCCACTGGCCTCCTTCTCTTGCTTGATTGCAGCTAAACTCTCCTTTATTTCATCTGTGCTGCTGGCAGTGGGGGTCTCGTGGAGGGATTGAGGTCATTGCTGGGTGTAGCTAACGATGGATCTCTCCCTTCGTGTTTTTGTCGAGCAGTCCTTTTGTCCTCTCCGCCAGTTTGGAGACTGTGGAGTCAGGCCAGACTTCCAAGGTCCAATATCCCATCGGATTAGTGGCTCCGAGATGCCGTAGTGGGCCCAGGCACAGTGATTGGAGTGTGTGAAGTCCAGACCTTCAACACACTCAATCCACCGCTGGCGTCTGGCTGAGTCTAGACTCTAGCAGGGCCTTCACAACCTGTGGGCTGCCCGACTGGTTGTTCTGCCAGAGCAGGTTCTGGGCCCCGGGGATGCGCTTCTTGGCAGTGATGGCAAGGAGGCCAACAAACCGGCGATAACATTCCAGTGTTGCCGGGATTCGGATCGCTGCTTTTTGCATGGCTTCCCTATACTAGTCCCAGCCGGCTTTGGCCAGGTTCTGCCGTGGAATTCATTTAGACCAGGGGTCGGCAACCTTTCAGAAGTGGTGTGCCGAATCTTCATTTATTCATTCTAATTTAAGGTTTCGAGGGCCAGTCATACATTTTAACGTTTTTAGAAGGTCTCTTTCTACAAAAGTCTATAATATATAACTAAACTATTGTTGTATGTAAAGTAAATAAGGTTTTTAAAATGTGTAAGACGCTTCACTTAAAATTAAATTAAAATGCAGACCCCCCCGGACCGGTGGCCAGGACCTGGCAGTGTGAGTGCCACTGAAAATCAGCTCGTGTGCCGCCTTTGGCACGCGTGCCATAGGTTGCCTACCCCTGATTTAGACAGAATCACTGGGATTTCGGTGTGCCGTGGGTGATAATGGGCCTGTGCTGGCTGTTGGGGAAGTCGGGAAGTATTTTGATCTTTGGCATGATGGTTGTAGTCGCATTGCCAGCGAGCGGAGTGGAAAGTTGCTCGCGGTTTGGGATCGTCATTAGAACAACGGACTTCAAGAATCAAGGGCCAGATCTTTCCCTGGTGCAAATGGGCAGATGTAAATGACTAGATTGGCGCGAAGGTGATTTACACCAGCTCCCTGCAGCCTCACCATGTTACACCAGCCGAAGATCTGGGCCCAAAAGTATTTTCAAGCCTTTCTGTTGTTTGTTCCTGTCTCCCATTTCCCTCCATTCAGCCAATGCTGGGAGCCTTCCCCCTTGCTGCCGGCCTGTGGCCTTGCTGGCTCTCCTGCGTTAATAGAGAGCATGCCGGCTCTGCCCCTCGTGTACTCACTTGTGTCATACGCTAGTGTTTCACACTCCCCCACGCAGCACAGGGTGCAAGGCCAGAGAACCGAACCCAGTGGCATTTGGCCTCCTCGGCTGCAAAGGATCAGTTCAGTGCCAGGAACTGCCCCTTAGCGTTGATATTTTAAGCTATGGGCCGTGAAGACATGGCTGCTCATAGTAAAATCCCATTTTTAATACACAAATTTAACCAACTGTTGGGTCTAAAAGTACCCGAGGGACTCTTCATAGCCACGCCCAGCTCGCCTCCCTCCAGGGCATGGGGAGGTTATTTTAGAAATAGGAGCATTTTCTACGTGTTGGGAAAAGGATGAAAATTGGTAGTTAACTATTTTTGCTTTGGGGAGGGTGGGGTGGATACCTGGAGGGTTCTGTTATGGGACTGGTCGCTGAGTCATTGTCTCTTCTAGGGGGAGTCACTGCTGCATCGTGACTCATTTTCCCCATCTGTATAATGGGGAGGCTGATACCAGCCCAACGGCCAAAGGCTACTCCAGAGGAATTTACATCCCCCAGCACTTTACAAGCTGTGACTGGTTGAGGCACATCTCGGTTCTCCCCAAACCCCCAGCCCCACCCCCTGGAGCTGGATCAAGGCGTGTCACAAAGAGATGGAGCCAAAGAAAAAATCCCAGATCCAGACAGCCTGGTTTTTGGGGCACAGGCCCATCTCTAATCATAACCCCCATTATACATACAGATGGGAGAAACTAAGGCACAGAGAGGCTCAACATGAAATCCAAGTTGTGCAGCACTGTACCATCAGGGAAAATCCTTCCTGACCCCAGCCAGCCATGGGGGTCGGCCCCGCGGCATGAGCGTGGCGCCTCCTGGTGAGCAATGGTGATGCTGTTCAGGGACACTGGAAGGGCAGCGCTGCCTGGTTTTCAGCTCACTAAGTGTCGTTCTTGTCTCCCCAGGCGAGCGACGATGGGGAGAGCATCGGGCACTGCCCCTTCTGCCAGCGCCTCTTCATGATTCTGCTGCTCAAGGGGATCCCCTTTACTCTGACCACAGTGGATATGAAGAGGTGAGGACGCAATGGGAACCATGGAATATGGTCAGCACAGCCCCAGGGCGCTACCCACCCACCTGCATGGTTTTACCATTGAGCGCCCTGCCAGTCCTCCAATTCCCCCTTTCCTCTGGCAGTGCGTCTGCCTGGCTGACTCACACCCAGCACCGCGGCTGCCAGCTCCCTGACTGTGCCAAACAGCCCCAGGATCAGGGTGGTGGCGCTGCACAGATCACGAGACTGGAGAGCACATATTCCCCGTTCCCCACCCCCGACAGCCCAGTCCCCTGCCCCCCATTCACCCAGCCCTTGATAAAGAATTGCCGAGGGGGCGTGGGCAGCTGCGGGTGGGCAGGAGGGTTGGAGGCTCCTGCTGCAATCATCCCCAGCGCGCTCACGGAGCACGTCTGGAAAGCCTGGGGGCAGCACTGCGGGGCTGGGAACCTGGCCCTGGCTGCTGTCTGGTGGGACAATGCTGCATCCCCCACCCTGCCGCCAGTGCCAAGGGGGGAGCATCCGTCTGCCAGAGCCCTGAGGGCAGCCCCTTCCCACGGCCTGGGCTTCTGGGCACCCGCTTCCCACGACAGGAGCCCCGCGCACTCGGCCGGTTGGAGCCGGCACTACGCAGGGGGTAGCAGTCGCGGGCACTCAGCCCTTGGGAGGCCGGGACAGGCAGCTGGGGCTGTCTCCCGTGTGGCAGCGCTGGCCAATAGCCGGCATTGGGGCAGCCTGAAGCCTTTGTATCACTGCTCTCTGCAGCCGGGCCGGCAGCAGCTGGTCTGCACCCAGCAGGAGGGTGACCAGCATCTGCTGCCCTCTGCCCCAGCAAGCCCCCCGGCAATGCCCTGGGGTGACCGAGAGCCTCTGCCCTCCCTCTGCAGGGCCCTGGATGTGCTGAAGGATTTTGCCCCAGGAGCCCAGCTGCCCGTGCTGCTGTATAACGGGGAGCCCAAAACCGACACCAACAAGATCGAGGAGTTCCTGGAGGAGACCCTGGGCCCCCCAAAGTGAGTGAGGGTCAGCCCCTTCCCCATGTGGGCACAGCAAGACATCAGCCCCACAGGGGAGTCCGGGCCGGGGCATCAATCCAGAGGGGGGGGGGAAGAGGGGAGAGGAGTCCCTGCGGGGACGGGAGGCAAGGTGGGCTGGGGAATCGGGGCCAGGCAGGGTGTGAGGGTCAAGGGGGCACAGGTGGGACCAGCGGGGGAGGATGAGGGGAAACCATGGATGGGGGAGGGGAATGGGGCGAGAGAGGAGACCGAACAGGCCAGAGAGGAGGGGAGGAGGGACGGTTCTCAGGGCATCGCTGTGAGCTCTGGTGCCCAGGGCAGAGGGGCACAGGCTGAGCCCCCAGCCTCAGCCCAGCCCCCTCTCCCTTCCTCCCTTTGCCTCCTACAGCTTCCCCAGTCTGGTTCCCCGGTACAAGGAGTCGAGCACGGCCGGGAACGACATCTTCCACAAGTTCTCTGTGTTCATCAAGAACTCGCTGCCGGCCCAGGACGAGGGTGAGGGCGTTGGCTCAACAAGGGACGGGTGGGGTGTGTGTGTCCACATGCAGCCACGTGGGGGTAACACCGCTGCCACCACCAGCGCCCGGACCCCCCCAGTGCTCCCCCACGGCAGTGCATGTACTGGCTGCTGTGTTCCTGCCCAGTGGGATCCCGTGAGCACGTGGGACAGGACAGGGCGAGGGGCCATAGTCACCCAGCAGCCTCCCCGACCCCCTTGCAGCTGAGCGAGGCCACAGCCTGGCTCTCCCGTCCGGCCCCTCCTCTGCTGCTGGCCCTTGTCATGGCATGGACTGGGGGGGTGAAGGGCTGGCTCCAGAGGGGCTCCCCCTTCCCCCACCAACACGGGTCGAGTCTGCCCTGGAGGGGCTCCCCCAAGAGGCCGGAGGGGGTTCACGCCCTGGCGCATGCAGCCATCTGCTGCTCTGCCCAGTCCCTGGTAGAAACCCAGGTGTGGGGATAGCTGGGGGCCCTCACTGCCCTGGTGTGTGTGTGTGTGGGGGGGTCACCCCCATTCTGGGGGTGACTAGTGAGACTGGCAGGCTGGCTCCACCCCACAGGAAATGCCACCTCTCCCAGCGTGCAAATGCCCCAAGAGCCCCCCGGCCCCTCTCTGCACGGGGGGAGGGGTGCCAGCAGTGCCATGTCACTTGAGGACCCCCACGCTCCCCCCACCGCTCCCCGGGCAGGTGCCAGCTGTGCAGTGACTCTCTGCCCTCCACCCCCAGTGCTACAGAAGAACCTGCTGAAGGCCCTCCTGAAGCTGGACCGGTACCTGAGCACCCCCCTGGAGTACGAGCTTGTCCGGGACCCCAGCCTCACCATCTCCCACAGGAGGTTCCTGGACGGCGACCAGCTGACACTGGCCGACTGCAGCCTGCTGCCCAAACTGAACATTGTCCATGTGAGTACGGGTGCTCCGGGGGTGGGACCCCCACAGCCACCACCAGCCTCCTGCAACCATCTCCAATCCATATGGCACCCCCAGCCACCACCCTCTACCCATGTGGGACCCCCACAGCCACCACCAGCCCCCTGACCAGCCCCAATCCATACGGCCACCCCACCATCTCCCACCCATATGCCCCCCCAGCCACTGACAGCCCCCCATCAACCCTTACCCAGCAACTGACAGCCCCCCCCATGATTCCCCACCCATACAGCCTCCTCCCAGCTCCACCATCCCCCACCCGTATGTCCCCGCCCACCTACCACCAGCCCCCCCATCATCTTCCACCTTTATAGCCTCCCAGTCACTGCCTACCTACCCCTCGCCCACTCTCCCCCGCCACCATCTAGAACATCCCCTGCCCCTGCCCCCCATCTGTGGCGGCCCACCGCCCTCCGTTCTGCCCCCTGCCCTGTGCACCAGGCCCCATATGCCTGAATGGGTTATCCAATGGGGCACAGGGATGGGGGCCGGGCCGGATAGCTGTGGGAGCAGGCAGGATAGGTTATCCAATGGGGCACAGGGATGGGGGCCGGGCCGGATAGCTGTGGGGGCAGGCAGGGTGGGTTAGCCAATGGGGCACGGGGTGGGGCTGTCCCGGGCCGGGCCGGTTAGCTGTGGGGGCAGGCAAGGTGGGTTAGCCAATGGGGCACGAGGGTGGGGGCTGTCCTGGGCCGGGCCAGTTAGCTGTGGGGGCAGGCAGGGTGGATTATCCAATGGGGCACAGGGATGGGGGCTGTCCAGGGCCGGGCCGGTTAGCTGTGGGAGCAGGCAGGATAGGTTATCCAATGGGGCACAGGGATGGGGGCTGTCCAGGGCTGAGCCGGTTAGCTGTGGGGGCAGGCAGGGTGGGTTATCCAATGGGGCACAGGGATGGGGGCTGTCCCGGGCCGAGCTGGTTAGCTGTGGGGGCAGGCAGGGTGGATTATCCAATGGGGCACAGGGATGGGGGCTGTCCCGGGCCTGGCAGGTTAGCTGTGGGGGCAGGCAGGGGGGGTTATCCAATGGGGCACAGGGATGGGGGCTGTC